TCCCAGTCGTGGTGGTTCTCAGCCCACAGCAGTCATTCCTGTGAACATTAGTGCATGGATTGCCTTATCCTTGATAATCGATGCATAACCTGTTGTGAAATTTCAAGAAACAAATCTTTCTGTGGGAATGGTGAACACAATGATGACGAAGTGTAGCAAACTGTCCTAGGATGGTTCAGGCGTACTGACAAATCTTTCTATGTCGAAGCTTTCTAGACATTAGTTAAACGCTGGGATAAGTGTATAAATGTAGCAGGGGAGTATGTTGAAAAATAAATGCAGTTTCCACTCCTTGAAATTTGTTCTTTATGACCTGGTTTGACTTGAAAGCCCCTCAAATATACATATATAATTATTTCTGTTATCTTAAAGTGGTTGTAAACCCTTACATATACCAAGTAAAGTGACTGGCATCAGGTGATATACAGAGATTAAACAAATCCTCCTATATATGTTGTACCTGTCTATCTGCAGTCTTCTCTTCTCTAAATCTGTTCAAAGTGTTGAATTATAAAGCTAGTCTGAGAGTTTAGAAAAAAGGGGACGGAGTGCTGAAATAACACACTGCAGAGCTCAGTAAGATGAGCTCTGAAAGCTGATTGGAGGGAAGAGACACACCTCCTCCATACAGTTCACAGGAACAGAGTTGAAGGCTGTCAATCTGCTGGAGGTCCCTCCCCGTCACCATTTTTCTCTTGTCAGAAGGGATTCATGCTGATAGCAGAGAAACAAAGCAGCAGACAGAACTGACACTTAGTGCTCATAGTTGAGACAAGTACACACTGTAGAGGGGTATGCTTTGTTCATGCTTCATGTCTGAGGTTTACAACCACTTGCCTAATGGGCACTTTTACCCCTTTCCTGCCCTGGCCAATTTTCCGCTTTCAGTGCTGTGGCACTTTGAATGACAATTGCGCGTCATGCAACAATGTATTCATATGAGATTTTTATAAGTTTTTCACACAAATAGAACTTTCTTTTGGTGGTATTTAATCACCACAGGGTTTTTTTTTTTTTTTTTGCACTATAATAATATAAAAAGACCTGAACATTTTGAAGAAAAAAAAAAACAACAGGTAATTTTTCTCCTTCACTAATGTGCAATGATGAGGCTGCTCTGATAGGCAGCACTGATGGGTACTGGTAGGTTGAACTGATGAGGCGGCACTGATGAGGCGGCACTGATGGGCATTGATGAGGAGGCACTGATGATGCTGCACTGATATGGCACAACACTGATAGGCGGCACTGATGGGCACTAATAGACAGCACTGAAGATCACTGACTGGCAGCACTGATAGGAGGCACTCACCGGGGGCACTGTTGGGCACAGATTGGCAGCACTGATGGGCAGCACTGTTGAGCGTTGCAGGGCAGCACTGGTGGGCACTTTTGGGGCTGCACTGTTAACAGTGATGTAACCAGAACAGACAGTAAGAATAACTTTTTCCATGGAGGACTCAGAAAACAATAAAAACCCGAAAGGTTATACATTTTCCTCAATCTGTCTAAAAAATAAAAAAAGTGTTGGCTGGAGATAAACTTTTTTTTTCCTTTTTTTTATGTTGGTCATATACTGAAGCTGCAGTATGAAAAGCTTGACAAAATTTCAATTTCATCAATGTTGCCAATCCCTGAAATAAAGTCTGCAATAAGTGTAGTGGGTTGCTGCTAACACCTTAATGTGTTCCCACATCAACCAAAATATTCAAAGAAGTAAGTACCACGGCCCTTTCCATGTTTACCCATCATATCTCAAATACACAAAAATCTGAGAAAAGAAATAAATATAAAAAAAAATGTAATAAGTAATAATAATTATGGATTAATATTTTTATTTTTTTGTATTTTTTTTGTATATTTGTTTTCATATTTTGTGTAGTTGAGGTATGATGGGTAGACATCGAAAGGGTAGCACTACAATATTATTATTTTGAATATATTTGGTCTTGTTATGATGTTCAGAAGCTCCAGAAGCCTAGAGATCATGTTTAAGTTAAACATATATTTTAAAATTATGGAATTCAAATTGAAACCAAATTAAATGTTTTATGGTTATGATATCTACCAATTATTTTTGGTGTTGATGTTAAGGTCTAACATTAGAGTTGAAATTCCAAATGGCTTTCGAACTATCAATGTGTTAGCCTGTAACAACAGTAAGTAATTTTATTGCAACATGTTATTATTCTCTTTGTGATGGTTGCTATGATGAAAAGCAAATATGCCTATCTTTCAATCTTGACAGAAGGAATCAGTTAAATGTATGATAAAATAATGTTGATTGAACATACAACTCTATAAACCCCAGTGATACTTTTATAACTTGATCCCACTCACTGTGTACACGGTAACATATGCCATAGTCCTTGTACCCAGAAAGTATGCTTTATTACTGTGCTACAAGAGAGAGTCTAAAAGACATATACGACACCTCAGCACATTAATTTGTAAAATATGAAACTCTACCATTATTTATGCTTTTTCTGCATACAACCTACCTAGAGGAAGAATTTCATTAACAGTGACCACTGACCAACCTGTATCTATTGTACAACGAAGAATAAATAATGCAAGGGTCAGGTGTATGTCATAAACAGTCTCGTTTATGCAGTCTCCTTTAGGCAGAACTCTACTGGCAGCGAATCAAACAAGTATGAAACAAATAGGAGTGGCCGAAGGCCCCTCACCATACTGATGCTGAAGATGAGCTCCTGATGGTAATCAATCTCACAGACTCTTTCCTAACTAGGCAAGAGGTAGCCAGCAATGCTCTGGGCCTCCCTCTCAACTCTGGTGTCCATGTGGTCCTCTGGCTCAGAAGTGCATCCCCTGATGGCCAATCCTGTAGGCTGGATGGGACTGGAAGAGCAGGCCACACTATTCGTATAGGACAGTGGAGGGTTTAAAGCCTAACTCCATGTTTATGGTGGCTTTAAATAGTTGATTTGGGCCTTGACCTTGGCAAGCTCCTAACCCATGAACAATTAACCTCCCAAATGGAAGGGGCCCCTTTTCTCCCCTTGGACCTACGTTCAAATATTGCATTATCTGCGCTCCTTAGATCACACAACTTCCATCTCCAGACCCATGAAGCCATTTGAGGCTATATGCTCCAGGACAGCACCTTAATGACACATAATTTCTATGATGCATACCTTACTCTTTGCAGGTCACCACCCTAATGGAGACATAGCCTCTGAGGCTTGTAAAAATAACCTATGCTAAACCTTTCCCCGAATGAGTGGGAACACATACATCTGAATATCCACAAGGGATCAGCAAAAGTCACTACTCAACATAATGGGTACAAGCTTCAGATGCTTTGGTACCGTACCCCTGCATTGTTGTATACATTTTGGCTTAAAGTTCCCAATACTTGCTAGAGATGTCAGCATGTGACTATCTATGAAATGGGATCAAACCCTGGCACAATTTCTACTGTACTAGTTATGCCTACCGCATTATGTCTATTTTAAATCTCTAGCCATGCACATGGTAAACTAAAGAAAATTGTGCATCCCGATCCATTGGGGCACCCCTCACACTCCTACCATTTGAGAGTGGCTTAACCGTCTTTTCAAAATTGCAGAGATGGAGGAATTAATTCATATAGCTTGAAACTCTCCTTCCAAATTCTTGAGTAAATGGGTCTGTTGGACCCACTCTTCCTCCCTGGCTTCAGGCTTCAGACTGCCCTGCTTTGCAGTTGAGAGTGCCTTTTGTGCTTTTTCATCCTCATGCACAAGCTAATGTAATGAATTAACATCCAAGCGCCTAACATCTGTAAATGAGCCTAAATTCTTGAAATACTTTTACAAGCAAACATTGTTGTGCATGAGGCCTTTGTCACTCTGTCCACCTAGACTCAGAGGCTCGACTGGATTTCCCTCCTGATCTCCTCTGATGCTCTCCCATACCAGTAATGATGATGCTTAATGAACATGCCACATAGGGGGGAGTAAAGGAAGAACTTTCACCTTTCTCAACCTCCCTCCTCTCCTTCCACCCCTTTTTGTTTGCTTGTTCCCCCCCCTTTTTCTTCTTTCTCTCGCACTTATCCTCTTCTTCCATCTGCTCCTCCCCCTGTATCCTCTCACTTCATTTAATCACTGGCACATGGAGGTCTGTCATCCAGACGGTAGACCCCACCACTTGATCAAGCTTTTTGCAGACTCGTGTCATACCATTCTTTTTTATTTTCTTTCCTTAGGCCTTGAGGCTTGTTTAGCCCACATTCCCATCCTTTGCAGATACAAATGGTAACACTCTAGGGCCAGAGTCAACAAGCCTGCACATGCATTTTGCACTTTTAGACCAGCCTCGCGGTTTGCTCTCTGCAAGGCCTTAGTTAAATAAGAACTTCATTTCTTTGCTGCTTGTTACACCTATGATCTATGTTTTCATAAAACTTAAATTCATTATTGTTTGTTTTTATTCTTTGCTATTTCTCCCTATGAGGCATGATCGTTATTGTACTTAACAACATGTTTTGCTACGATATACGCCTGAATGCGCTAGCACTCTTGTAACTGGATACTCTTTGTGTATTTGTTCTGTATGGTCTGCTCTACTTCAATAAATTTTATTGTGAAAAAAAATGATAACGTTTAAGTTGCTGTCAAGCGATATTTATTGGCAACTTCTACAAACATTTAGTACAGAACATTATACAGAATATAAATCCGAAAATGACACAGACCAAAAAGGAGTCTCAAACAGATATACAGAGCAATAGTAAAATATGCAATCCCCCCATGGGACATTAACTACTAGGGGACCGCCCGCAGTACACATACTGCTACAAGGCAGCCCCTGTGCGCAGGATCACAGATATAAACGTGATCCTGCATTTCGGGGTAGGGGGCTGCGCGCGAGGCACACCACTGCCCTACCCGCGGCACTGATCGTGGCCACAGCTGTCAATCACCGGGTCCAGCTGGTGATTACCCGCCGGAGCCCAGCGATTGCCGGCAAACACTGACAGGGAGGAAGGCTGCATTGTTTTCAAAGGAGCTCTCCTCCCTGTCAGTTTTCAATACACTGTTCCGGATTGCTGGGCACAGCCTTCCAGAACAGTGTGTAAAAGTGAACTACACCCCCCAGCCCCCTGGTAAAACACTCCCCTCACAGTTAACCCTTTTATTGCCTCCAAATGTTAACCCCTTCCTCCCTAGTGCCTTTAGTACAGTGTCAGTGTTTCTTTTTTGGACTGATCACTGCATTGGTGTCACCGGGGATGTCAGTGTCAGAATGTCCACCGCAGTCCTGCAGTCCCACCATAAATTGCTGATTGCCACCATAAATTGCTGATTGCCGCCATAAGTCGCTGATCGCCGCCATTATTTTATATAAAAAAAATACAGTATCTACACAGCCATTTGTAAATGCTATAACTTTCACGTAAACCAATTAATTTACATGCATTGGGATACAGTGTAAAACACACATAGCGCACAGTAAAACAGCACACAGATGTGATCACCCCAGATGTTAACCCCTTCCTGCCTGGTGCCATTAGTACAGTGTCAGTGCTTTTTATTAGCACTGATCACTGTACTGGTGTCACTGGGGATGTCAGTGACACCAAGTCAGTTCCCCCCAGGGTCAGAATGCCCACCACAGTCCCACTATAAGTCGCTGATTGCCACCATTACTAGTTAAAACCCCCCCCCTCGCCAAATTCCAGTATATATATCGCCATTTGTAAATGCTACAACTTTCATGCAAACCAATTAATTTACACATCTTGGGATTTTTTTTAGCAACGACATGTAGCAGAATACATTTGGGCTTAAATTTATGATGAAATTAGATTTTTTTATATTTTTTTACTGGACTTATTTATTAGCAAAAAGTCAAAATCATAGGGTTTTTAAAATTTTTTTTTTTTAAATTGTATTTTTTTGTTTATAGTGCAAAAAATAAAAAATGCACAGGCGATCAAATACCACTGAACTAAAGCTCTATTTGTGGGGACAAAGTTCATTTTGGTGCAGCGTTGCATGACCACGCAATTGTCAGTTAAAGTAATGCAGTGCCATATCGCAAAAAATGGCTTGGTCAGGAAGCAGGGTAATTCCTCTGGAGGGCAAGGGGTTAATTCTGCACTTTAGCTTGTTCTGTGACTTCACACCCATCTCCAATTTGCTTATCAGCTGCTCATCTGCTACTTAGTTTGACCAGTGCCTCTGACCAGTGAAACCTGCTATCTACCAGTTCTGCAGCTTCTACCTGCCTGTTTCCTTCTGCAATTATATCACCAACAAACAAATGACAGTGGTGCCTGTAACACACTATCTGTTATCACACCTGTGTACATGTACCCTAAATCTAAATCTATCTATCTGGGGATGTCAGTGACACTAAGTCAGTTCCCCCCAGGGTCAGAATGCCCACCACAGTCCCACTATAAGTCGCTGATTACCGCCATTATTAGTAAAAAAAACTCCAAAATTCCAGTATATATACCGCCATAACTTTCATGCAAACCAATTAATTTACACATATTGGATTTTTTTTAGCAAGGACATGTCGCAGAATACATTTTGGCCTAAATTTATGACAAAATTTGATTTTTAAATGTTTTTTTACTGGACATGTTTTATAGCAAAAAGTCCAAAATACTGTTTTTTTTTCTCAAAATTGTTGGTCTTTTTTTTTTATAGAGCAAAAAATAAAAAAAACGCACAGGTGATCAAATACCACTGAAAGAAAGCCCAATTTGTGGGGAAAAAAATGACGTAAATTTTATTTTGGTGCAGCGTTGCATGAACGCATATTTGTCAGTTAAAGTGTCAGTTAAAGTGACGCAGCACCATAACACAAACAGCTTATGTAACCGCTTCCTGACCTCCCTATAGCAGAAATACTGCTACAGGGCGGCACAGGTGCGCAAATTCACATATATATACATGATTTACGCTCCCGTGGCTTTAGCGCCTCTCCCAGATAGCATCAGATTGCCCGTCAGTACATAAGTAATCACATTTAACCCTTTGATTGCCAGGAACACGCTCATCCATTGCTAGTATAGTGTCTAAACGGATCAATATCTTTGATCAGATCAGATCAGCACTATACCAGCGTTCACATTAGTATAGTGTCCCCAAAAATGCAACGTTAGCGGTATCAGCCCTGGCACCTGCCAGCACCTGCGTTTAGCCCCTATGCTTACTGCCCCCCCCCCCCCCCCCCCTCTCCCCCAGCAAGTGCAGTGTCAGTAGGTCACTGTCACTTGATACATTGCACTTGATACATTGTCACTTGATACATTGCACACAAAACCGCAGTGTTTGCAAAATCAGGCCTGATCTCTGTTAGCACTTGCCGGTAAATTTTGATGACTCTCATATGCAGCAGAGTGCCAGTACTAGTGCTACCTTTTGGTGAACTAGCGAGCACCAGCGGCCTAGTACATCCCGGTCTTTCACATACCAGCACTGCAGTATCACTTGGTGAAGTCCCATAAGTGCAGTACAAGCTGGTGCGGTGGTGAGCAAAAGTATTGTCCCGCAAACACCAAGAATTCGCACACATGCCAGTAGAGCCCCTAGAATCCATCCAGATGTGCTTGCAAATCCCGATTGGCAGCCCACAAATTCTGCAGCACCCGTACATCCCCCATTCTTTGCCCAACCTAGAATTCTCATTCTCATGGAAACCCATTATGGTTTCCGAATTGAACTGTTTTTTGGACCTTACCCTCAACATAGACATTACTAAAAAAAATGAATTGCAGTTGTATTGGTCCACAGACCCAATTCATCATATGCCCGTGTTCTCTGTTGTCATGGCCAGGCATAAATATGAGAGTATAATGTGTTTTATGCATTTCAAAGACAATACACTCTGTCGTCCTCGAGGTGACCCTGAATTTGACCAGCTCCACAAAATTGAGCCCCTCGTAAATCACCTTAAAGCGAAGTTCCACCCAAAAGGGGAATTTTCGCTTTAAAGATTGGTCCCCCGCTCCCCATTAAGGATTGGCACCTTTGGGGAGCGGGGGAACGGGTACCCGAATTTGACAGGTACCCGCTCCCACTTCCGCTGGGATTGGAAGCAGAAGTTGTCCTCCTACCCTTCCTGAAGTCTTATGGGACACATGACAGGTCACAGAAAATGATGGGGCCATTCAGAAAACGCAGCGCTACTCGCTCATGCGCAGTGGGCACCCGGCTGTGAAACTGCAAGCTGTCACAGCCGGGTGCTCACACTGAAGATGCCAGCACCTGGAATACAAGATGGCCGTGAAACGGGCTGCGGCGGGGGCAACACGGGATCGTGGGACAGGTGATTGGCTGTTTTTTAAAAGTCAGAAGCAACAGTTTTTGTAGTTGCTGACTTTTATTTTTTTACAGAGTGGAACTCCGCTTTAACCAAAAATTTGCAGATGTCTATACTCCCCAGCAAAAAATCTGCATTGATGAGTCCCTCATTAATTTTTCTGGCCATCTTGCATTCAAACAATTTCTCCCCAGCAAGCGTGCCAGATATGGGGTCAAGATGTAGAAGACCTGTGAGAGGACAACAGGCTATACTTATAAGTTTCAGATTTACGAGGGAAAAGATAGTCACATGGAGCCCCCTGGATGCCCAGACTACATGGAGAATAGTGGCAAGATAGTTTGGGACTTGGTGTCATCCTTTTTCCATATGGGGTACCAATACGTGGACAATTTTTATTCAAGCGTGCCACTATTTAGACATTTGTACAATCTTGGAACTGGCACATGTGGCACCATGTGACCTAATGTGTGCCCACCATTAGAAGTGGGTGAATGCAGGGCGGTACATTCTAATGGTGGGCATACCACACACCTTTTCTTGCAGAGAATTCTTTTTTTTTTCATTCAGTCCACAGGCTGCATACAAAAAAAAAAAAAACATAGCATATATACAAGGACCAGCGATGTACTGGTACATCAATGGACTTTGAATAGTTATACCAGGATGATGCCTACAGCTGCAGGCATCATCCTGGTATAATTTTTTTCAGCCGGCAAAACGGCTTTCATGTAAAAGCAATCCTAGTGGCTAATTAGCTGCAGGATTGCTTTTACAAGCAGCGTGAGATGCCATGGTCTTCTCGGGCAGTCCCGTGCCATCGGGGGAACCTGAGAATGCAGTCGGTGTTTCTGACAACTGACCATAAAGCTGATTGGAGACCAGAATAGTGCCAATCATCTGTATAGCCTAAGAAATCGGAAGCTATGAGCATTTCATCACTTCAGTTTTGCAGGATATAAACAGCGCCATTTGTAAATTGGGAAAGCATCTGATCTTGAATTGATTAGATAATGTAAGAGCAGAGGAGATATCTACAGTCTGATAGACCCCAGATTTCTCAAAAAAGAATATATGACAATGCCCATTGAAGTTATAGGGGATATTTGCATTCCCTGTGATAGCATTAAAAGTGATTTAAAAAAAATAAAAGAGACAGTGTAAAAATAAAAAAAAAAAATCAAAAAAATAACATAAAAAAAAAATCACCTTCACCCACTCCCCTTCCCACCGCGCACGCGACGCGAGCGTTGACCCTGTGCTGGTATGCAAACAGCGGTTGCACCATGTATGTGAGGTATCCCCGTGAACGTCAGATCAAGGGCAGTAATTCTAATACTAGACCTCCTCTGTAAATCTAAAATGGTAGCTTGTAAAGGCTTTTAAAACATTGCCTATGGATATTAAAAACGTATGCAGTTTGTCGCCATTGCACGGGGCATGCGCAGTTTTAAAGCATGTCATGTTTGGTATCTATTTACTCGGCATACCATCATCATTTATATTTTACCAAATAATTGGCCATTAAAATACAAGTACATTGCAGTACCCACCATTTTATTCACTATGGTGTCTGCTTTAAAAAAATATATAATGTTTATGGGTTTAATTAATTTCCCAGCAAAAAATACTGATTTCTTTCACGTGAACAAAAAGTGTCAGAAAAGGCTTGATCTTCAGTTGGCTAGAAGAGTGAGTGATGTGTGGCATAAACTTTTAATGCTGGTCATGAAATGCCCCCACCCCCCAAAACGACCCCTTTTTGTAAAGTAGACACCCCAAACTTTTTGCTAAGAGGCATGTTGAATCAATAGAAGAATTGATTTTTTTACCACAAGTTTTTGGAAAATGACAACATTTTTTTTTTTGTACACAAAAATGTCACTTAAATGATTTACTGCTCACACATGCCATGGGTATATGTGAAATTACTGCACAAAATACATACTGCTACTTCTCCTGAGTATGGAGGTACCACATGTGAGAGACCTTTTGGCAGTCTTGCCAAGTACAGGACCCCAAAATCCAATAAGCACCTTCAGGCTTTTAAAGGACTTTATTTCCTCATTACACTTCCTGACTACCTATCACAGTTTTGGAGGCCCTGAAATGCCAGGATAGCACCAAACCTCCCCAAATGACCTCTTTTTGGAAAGTAGACATCCCAAGGAATTTGATAAGAAGCATTGTGAGTATTTTGTTACACAGCTTCAGGCTTTCAAAGTGGTCAATGGATTTCAGGCTCCTGTATGTGGCTAGGCTCCCAAAAAGTCTCACACATGTGGTATCACCATACTCGCTGGAAGTAGCAGAATGTATTTTGGGGTGTAATTCCACATATACCCATGGC